AAAAAAAAAAAAAAAAAAAAAAAAAAAAGAAAAAAAAACGCATTGCAGTCAAGTACATGTTTCACTTAACATTTAGTTAACGCGTTAATTCTGATCGATTGTTTACGAAGTACCTCGAAAATTTTACTTTACTTTTGAAAGTTCGTGCGATCCTCAACGGCGAACATCTATGTTTAAAACTACTACGTAGCTCTACGATTAAGTGCTTCATTGTGCATAAACAATGTCTTTTCTCGAACAACGAAGTCTCTTTACGTATAATTTGATATCGATAATTGGAAACGGAATGCCTGTATCTCGCGAATCAATCAATTCGAAGATAAAGTAAGCACATTTTATAATTTCCATTGAGATACACGTAAATCGAAATGACCGAGCTTTTAAAATTTGTACGTTCGTTATTTTAATTAAGATTTGCTGTGTCGCATTACGAATCTAACGTACAATAGTTTCGCTATGTTCAAGCTCGAACGTATTCCTCTAAAGTATTATAGGATAATTACCCCTTACTCGATCGTAACTAGTTCTAAGAATTTCATTAGATATGATCTATTTATCGGGATTAAGTAGAATTTGCAAGACTTACAGCGTAAAATACTCAAATTTCGTTAATTACTAAAAATCGACGAAATCAATCATAATAAAGCGACACGCCACATTTAAACCGTAAAAGTTCCAAATTCTTTTTAGCCCTTTCGCTTCGAGCGCCGCTTGTAGGCGACGTCCACGCGACGACTGCCGGGTACGGGGGCACCCCGTATATCCGGCATGCGAATGATGCGTATACAAGTGCAATTTGTATACGATCGTTTTATTCGGCACAGTTGTTACTTAAGACTTAGGTAAACGTACAGAAATATACAGAAATCGCACGCACTGTGCGCATTTCTGGCGCGCGTTTCCGTTCAGCGTCGGTACTTGAGCGGACTGAACTGCCGAAGCGAAAGGGTTAAGGGTAACGCGACACTTCGCGGCTCTATAAATCGCGAAAGAACGTAACGGAGAACGGGTTAAGAGACGCAATCAGTTTCCGAACCGTATCAATCGAAAATTACATTCTCGTCGTATTGGTTATCGGTAAACGAAGATCGTGATTTTCGTTTAATTTTATACAGAGACAATGTTTACACGAAGCCACAGACAAAAGGAATAAAACTTTCAGTTCTCTTATACTCTCTTATACGCGTTCAACTGTAGTAAACATCTGGAAAGTTAATATGTAAAATGTAAAACTAGATAATCGTGTGTAAGGCACTGTCTATGCGCTCCTTCCAAGTAGCTATGTTCATCTTTATCGCAAAGAAAAATCGTGCACGCGAATAACAGACGTGTAAACAGAGTCAGTGTAATACTGAAGTTGTTTCCTAAGATGATATTTGCGATGAGTACCGGTACATCTTCGGTGGAAAATGTTGCTCGCAAGTACGCAGCTGCTATCCAATCGCAACATTTAATCGTGATACGTATCTAAACGTTACGAAGAATGCTATCACTTGCGTATCAAAGTACAACGTTTGATTTTTATCGTCGTGTTACTCGCATCGGAACACTGTAGTAATTCTTCTATTCGTGATATGGATATCTTGTATTTCGTACATTCTATTTTACCTGTCGATTGACGTGCACAAATGTAAATTCGTTTGCACACGCTCGATAATCATCGCTTATCGAACAACCGTATATTATCATAGATCTCGTATTATCACTTCTGCGAACACCACAGTTATCGAGGATTTTAATGCTAACGTTAACGATCGGGCATGTAATGGAGATCCATATGGAACATCATCGATTTGAAGCCGGTGTAAGCAACGATACCGTAACAGGGAGAAAAAAAAAATGAAACGCATTAACGATGGCTTAAAGTACTGTACAGTACTGACTAGAATCCTTATAGAGTGGAGACGCGTTAGTAGCATTACACATCGTAATTCAATCTTTCGATTTCTTATCACTTTACACTGAAAGCGTAGCGATGAGAAACGAAGGTAAAAGCGTACGCGCTGTGACTCTTGCCAAAGTCGAAAACGCATATCGCGAGTCTAGTTATACGAGGTAAGTATACGTCAGCTTGCAAAATCAGAATTAACTTGTCCGTCGCTTTTTGTTTCTCTACGAAAGAAAACGAGGAAAATGTGCTTCTCTGGTTTACCGTAATGGTAAACCTCGTACGTTCCGAATCTCGCACACTGAGCTAGGAATTGCGAAATAATGAGATCGGGATTAAGAAACGATAAATACGAATTAAGTCCCATGTTACTGTCCACAAACCTTTTCTGTGACTCATGCTTAACGCCGATTACTACTACGAATCACGCGAACGACAAAAAATTCTAGAAACTATGCAAGCAACGTAAAATTCCTAAGTTCCTGCTCGATTTTAATACTGTACGCAGGAAAGACGCGATTATTCGAATAGTTCATCTCGATGAATGCGAATATGGATATTAAAATATATCGCGATGAATCGCGTTGTTTAAACAAGTCGTTCATTGAAAAAAAGTCGATTTTGCCAAACGAAACGGGCTTTCACGTCGGCGACCAATAGTCGATGAAAAAAGACGATAAGAGTTAAAAAAAAAAAGGAAAAGAGTGGAGTATATAACGATACAAGATTATTAAAAAAAAGGAAAAAAGAAAGAAATAAAAGAGGAGAGAAATTAGCGAAGAAAAAGAACGATGTTTCGACTTGACGTGAACGGAGAAGAAGAAGAAAAAGAACTTAGGGGAGCCAGGGTGGAGCGAGAAGCAATGTTTCTCGACGAGTTCAAAGAAATTTACAAGTCCAATTCGTTTTTCGAGCTGCGCTGCTTCTGGATCGTTTTTTGCCATTGCATGTTATGTTTCAAACGCATGTGACGTCGCAGGTCGGTTCTACGACTGAGAGTGGTGTGACATAGGATGCAGGTAGTCTGGTTGCGATGCACTTCAAGGTGCTGGGTCAGCGAAGCAAGGTGTTTGTAAACGCTTCCGCAGAGTCTGCACGAAAAACGCCCTGGACCCTGCATCACCACTTGACCAGTTGTATCGCCAACATGCTTCCGATTGCGTCCCACCCCCCCTGCAACACATTAACAGCCACGTGACCCGCCGATTCCTCATTCATTGCTTTCTAGTCAATTACATTTCACAATCATATTAAGGGGACAGTAACACGTAACACAGACTAGATCATTCTTTTCTACCTGTGCTGGATGTACCGCCTTTCCGATTTACCACGTCGAATCCTCCGTTGATCCGCGCTTTTTCGAAGAGCCGCCACTCATCGCACGATTTTCTCGTCCTCGATGACGATCAAGTTAATGCCATACGCGCTACGATATCGATCGTTTTATCCGGATCATCCGGCTCTGCGAGTCGCGATATCAACTAAGGATCTCTTTCGAACGTGTTATCTCGTTTTAATTTCTCGTTTCGTTCTACCTAGTTGCATCTTACATCGGTCCGATGCAATTCGCGATCTTATTATCATGTCAATGCACTGCAACTATCGTATTAATAGGATACTGTTTCTTGCGTCAAAATTAAACGAAAAAAGAGAAACGTGGTAACAGTGAGAAGCGTGAAGACGTTAAAGCACAACTAACATGGCACAATAACAACCGCTAGATAGTAGTCCAATTATACCATGTTGAAAACAGAATCATTAATCGGTGTTAATCAAGAAGTTTTTAGTTGTTCATATTCATCAACGAATATCGTTAAGTGACACCTATGTAGAATACTAGTTACAATTAGACATCATCGTTAGACATCGCTGAACGTACGCAAAGTATTCCGTCATCTTCGGCTCGTTAGTTAACACAATGGGTATAGGTAATTCTTTCGATAATGTTGACTCCTCAAGTTTAAGTTCGGCATATATGTTAATTTTATCGGAAAAATTACTTGTACAATATCGTGCGTGTTTCGAGTTCGAATAACGAACGAACGAACGAATGCGATATTTATTTCTAGCATTCTTGCAACTTGCATTGCGGCAAATTTAACAACTCGGTGTATACTTACTCATCTACATCGATTCGAATTAAAGTAACATGTTTGGTTCGAACGTGACGACGTTAAAATTTTGACATTTCGATTTTGTTTGAAAAAAGAACTCGGCTGTATTCACATTTTGAAACTTTATTCACACATATTTCTCTTTTTTTCTTTTTCTTTTTTTTTTTT